TGAGTTTCGCGCTTCCCTCTTACGGTGTGTGTTTGTATGTCGTTTTGGTAAACCCGATGGAAGGCAATGTCGAGGTTGGCCTCCTCAAGCTGGTGCTTTTAGTCCGGTATAATGAAGCTCGTAGTTCGCCACGTGTCCTGACCACAGCAGTAGGTATGCTGTTGCCGTTCCACCTTTTCCCACCGTGTGGTCTCCCTCTCCCTGTTTGTCTGTTTGTCGCTCTCTCTCTCTTTCCCTCTCTGTCTCTCTCCCTCTCTCTGTCTCTCCCTATTTCGTGTGCCCCCCACCTCACCGGTGGCCGTCGTGCAGCAACAAATACCGAAGATGTCGCGCATGGGCATTTCCCGCAGCGGCAGCAACAGCAGGCGGGAGCGAGAGGGGGGGAGCGGGGCTGCAGCAGGTCGTCATTCCGACCCTGTGGTCGACGATGGCGTCGGCATCAGAGGGATGGTCATGGCGATGCCCATGGAGCGTAAGCTGATGTCGGTAGGTGTGGTGGCCATCATGATCGTAAAGTCGTCGAATCTCCAGCTGTCGGCGGACCTCGATGTGTGATGGGGCGCGGTGTAACAAGATTTTTTTTATTTTTTTCAACAATCGTTGCAACCCTTGGGGGGTATTTTGCCTGTTACCGTGGAAGGATTGAGAGTCAGCTGGAGCGGCACGGATGTTCGACGGTGCTGACCAGAGACACGGCAAGTCCTCCTATTTTTTGACTGTAATTCGTGGTTAGGCGTACGTCTTGGTGCTCCTGGTCTCCTGTCGTAGTCACCGTCAGCCCCCGCCGCCTGCGGAGGTATTGTACAGTTCTTGGCTGGCTCATCCGAGCATTGCTGACCTTCTTGGTACGGACGATACCGGTCTGGTGCTGGATGTGAATACGACAACACGACAGCAGTAGCAGCAGCAGCACCACAACCGTCAAGAAGTACATCACTGGTAGATGCTGCCTCCAGCCTGGCTGGGTGCTTCGGTTTATCCCATGCCTTGAGGACGGATGCGGCGAGCCCACGTGCAAGCATACCTCCTGCATCATTCGATAACCTCTCGTGCATTTTCCAAACTTGTGACAGCAGGTTGGTTGCTATGACCTACTTTTGGTTCCTACCGTGGCTGGTACTAAACGCATGTTTTGCCCCTTGTTGGCTCACTCAACAAGGGGTCCTGACTCGGTCCCTTACGCCTCTCCATGATCCTCTTGACCCCCCCCCCCC